GAAAGAAAAAGGAAGAAAGAAAATGAAGACAACTAACAGGCCAACTAACCTTAAGTGAACTTATACACGATAAATTTATTATCTGCAGAATAAAAACGCTGCAGGTATCTTTTTTTTTTATTACAACCGTGCAAGCTCTCGATGATTGGCTGATTGTTTTCAGCCAATCAGATGCGGCTGGCTAAAGAGCAGGTAGAAAAAAGACAGCAGTTTAGTAGACAGGGAGGAGGGTAGAGTAAACAGGAGAGACCTGTATGTACCTTCTGCTATTTAGATCAACATTTTTATATAGGACTTACTTGCTTAGGGTGGCAGATGGTTGTGGTTGAACACTCGAATGGTCTTAGCGTCGAGACCTGAGAACTTGTTTCCGATCTCTTATGACTTATGCTATCTTGTCATTATTACTATGCAGAATATCAACCAATAAATACAAAGCTGACATCGGATATGAAATTTGTCACAGCAAATAAAACATTTGAAGTATTCTGTAATGCAGACGCATCTCCCCCAGCAAATTACTCCATCAAACAAGGAAATATAACAATGGTAAACTCGTCTGATGGTAATGTCACAATTACTACACCTAATAATGGAACGTATCTTACTATCGGCTGTATTGCAAAGAACAAATATGGGCAAGAAATAGCAAATTCCCTCAGAATACCGATCTATCGTAAGTTACAATCCTAAATAAAAAGGTTCAAAATGGTTAGTAATGTTATTAATTAATAAGCATTACTTTTCATGCTGTAACTTTAATTTTATTTAGGATCATTAATTTATTATTATTTATTAGTTATTTATGCAGCAGATTTCACTCTAATGAATTGAAAAGTAGAAAAATTGCAGTATTTCAATGTAACTTATACCTAAATATATAGACTTATAGCTAATAATATCTATAAATACGCTATTCACAGAACCACCAACTATAGTAGATCATCCAGACAATCGAATTACAATGGAGAACGATAGCATTACACTGCAATGCAAAGCCACAGGGACCCCAGGACCAAATATTACTTGGTATGACGAAATAAGAAATACAACCGTTGAAGCGGCAAATGGAACGTTACTCGTACAAAATGAAGAATGTAAGAATAGTACATCACAGTACTACTGTGTGGCATCGAATGTTGTAGAAGACGTCAAAAGTCCTTCAATAACAGTAGAAGGTATGATTTTATCAGAACGTTTTTTTTTGCTTGCTTGCCTGCTTGCCTGCTTGCCTGCTTGCCTGCTTGCCTGCTTGCCTGCTTGC